AACAACTCTTCTGCTGCATTCCTAGTGGCTTAACTATGCCAAACTTTCATCCATTAGCATAAATTCATTTCAGCAGAGCTATGGGTCAAAAATTGCAGCCTTAATATCTCAGCTCTGCCCTACAAAAAGGTAGGAATTTAGGAAGAGCTACATAATAACAAAGGTGTTAATCATAATCCCTACAGCCCATGCAGCACAGAGTCTAATCATGCTAAGTGCTGTGCAAACAACCTGTCAAATCATTTACAGCTTAAAGAGTTTCCTTCTATCTCACAGAACTTGTCACTGAGCACAGATGAGTTTAGAAGTCTTTCAAGTCTTTTCAGTCCTTGGCACATCTGAAATATTCTCTTAGTTGATGTGAAAAGGCAAATTAATTTAGGATTTGTGTCATGCAAAATGGTTTCTGCTTATCGGGCTGAATGTTTAACTTGCACAAAGGCACTTCTCTTTCTTTACTTTGCCTTGGTTTTTATCATGGAACTGAAACCCTGACAAGGGTTTAACCTTCATTCTCTCCTTCTGACATGCCTTAACCAGGTTCCCATCCTAAGCTAATGAGGAAACACAGAAAACATCAGTAAATTCTGACAGCAATAATATTCTTTGCTACATGATTATGTTCTGGAATGAGCTCCAGTAAACATTGCTAAATCCCCTCTGAACCCACCATTCCTGCATTGAACTGTTCTGGGAGAGTGTAGCTAAAACAAATGGCCCTGGCAAAGTGTGAGTAGAGCTGGATGTGCTGGCAGAGGAGCAGTTTACACAAGCACAGAATCAGTCAGGTTGGAAAAGACCTCAGAGATCATCAAGTCAAACACCACCATGGCAACCAGACCGTGGCATTAAGTGCCACATTCAGTGTCTCCTTAAACACCTCCAGAGATGGTGACTCCACCACCTCCCTAGGCAGCCCATTCCAGTGTCTAATCTGGGAGAAAATTCCTCCTAATGTACAACCTAAACCTCTCCTGGCACAGCTTAAGACAATGCCTTCTTATCCTGTCGCTTGTTCCCTGGGAGCAGAGCCCAATCCCCACCTGGCTACAACCTCCTGGCAGGTGATTGCAGAGAATGATAAAGTCACACCTGAGCCTCCTCTTCTCCTCTTTACTGACCTTTAACATCAAATCCTTTAACATCAAGTCCAAAGCATCTTTGGTCTTACTTTTCATTAGGATAGTGTGATTTAAAACTGAAATATTAGGAACTACACCGAGTTTGTTCAGTTTTTAGCCACCTTTTCCCCAGAGCAGCTAACAGCTGCTTTTGGGGCCACGTGAGGGAATAGTGACATCAGGTGGAGCATCATGTTCATCACAGGCACATCGCAGTTTAACTATGGAAGCTTCTACAGGGCAACGGGCAAGTACCTGCCACAGTGAGTGCCTGGAAACGTCTACAGGACAATAGGCAAGTGGGTGTCAGCCTGGGAAACATCTGGGATCATAACCCATCTGTATCAATACTTGATGGGAGACAGATAGTCTAACTTCTTTAAGGAAAACTTTATGACATAATATTCCCTTGTAATTCCATATATTTAAGCTACTTCCAAGAGTAAGAGACTAAAATAATACTGATTCTATTAGAACTCCTCACAAATTACATATCTTAAAGACAACTTTATTGCTCAGCTTGTAACCTCCCCAAACTGGCACAGGAGCTGTGCTTGAGGTGCAGCAAAGGTCCCTGATCTGCCACCACTTTATCAGTATTTTCCTGTAAATATTTCACCTGAATGATTTCCACCTGAACCATATTTGGGAACCTCTGGAGTTACCTAAGGGAATCTACTACTAGATTTTTTTAAAGCAGGTAAAGGTGAAATTATCATCCTTAAGATTTTAATCATCAATATACCAGACTATTTTATCTAGAAAAAAAAATCAAAAAGTATTGCTTGCATACCCCAATCATCCCTTCTTGTGGGTTTGTTTCCCCCAATCTCCCACCTTTTATGCTGTAAGGTTTGACTTCTGCCACACAACATTCTCATTCACCATTTTCTGTGAGTAAAACTTAAAAGTTCTGCACAGCTTCTGAGGCCACACCTGGAGTGCTGTGTCCAGTTCTGGGCTTGTCCAGCAGGTCCAGCAAAAGGCAGCAAAGATGCTGAAGGGACTGGAGCACCTCAGTGATGAGGAAAGACTGAGGGAGCTGGGGCTGTTCAGCCTCAAGAAGAGACAACTAACTGAGAGGGACCTCAGTAATGTATCTAAAGGGGGTGCTAAGAGGATGGATCAGGCTCTGCTCAGTGCTGCAAACCAATAAAACAGGAGGTAATAGGCAGAAACTGATGCCCAGGAATTTCCACCTGAATCCAAGGAAGAGCTTCTTTCCTGAACAGATTGTGCAGAGAAGTCGTCTCCCTCACTGGAGATATTCCAGAACCCTCTGGACACAATCCTGAGCTATGATGTGCTCTGGGCTGCCCTGCTTGAGCAGAGAGGTGATCCCTTCCAACCTGAACCATTCTGTGGTTCTCCCATGACTTTTTCAACTCTAAATTCATCAACATCTGTGTGCAAATGCATTATTAAGCAGTTCTGACTTCACATCCTGTGCAACTTCTGTCTGTATCAAAGGACAGGAAGAGCTTTAAGCTATGGCTCAACCCACAGAGATTTTCAGGAGGAGTTGCAGGGCAAGTGGCAGCTTTTATTTATTTGAATTATGGACCTTTTGTCAACTCACTTATCTGGTGACAGTGAGGCCTTGGCAAACACTTCCTTTGCTGTACATCACCTCAGCCCCTTTGGGCTCCCAAAGGGACACTGTAAACTTGAGAGGCAAAATGAGAACTGACTTTGGGTTGCAGTACAACAGCTTTACCCACTCACTGGAGAGCTTTTATCTTGTTACCAGCCAGCAAACTCCCACAAAGACTTGGATCCATGACTTGTTTGCCTATCAGCACAAGATCTTTGCAGACAAGGCTGTTGCTGAAAGACGCTTGAAACCTAATCCAGGCTGGCAACAGAGCATGGAAGGGGGGAAAGGGACAGGGACATCTCCAGTGACAAACAGTGACACAACACTACAGCTGAAATTCCTGAGGGACTATGAAGGAAAACATGTAAAAGGAAGGAAAAGGACTGATGAAACCAGCACAGTTTAAACCCAGCTTTTATTACCCCCCTTCACATACCAAACTATACAAGATAAAGGCTTGATTATTTCTGCCTCTGTCATAAAAATCACAACCGAAACCACATCTGAGCCACACACAATTCATTCACTGGCTACAGGTTAAATTAAAGCTCTTCAGTTTCCACAGATTTGACCCAATGGTTACTAAAATTGAGTTTATCTACATCTTCTCAGCAACTCTAACTACTGTAAAACACATATAATAAAGCATTTATTGTAGTTAGCTCTGTAGTTATTCAGTTAGCTCGGCAGCTGCACTCATGAA